AAATCAGTCTTCAAGTATTTTACTACACTTCAGTATGTTATTCTTATTAAGTAGGGGTCATTTTTTAGGATTCTATACTTAACCTTAAAGTCTCTGAGAACCTGGCACCTTGTACTTCTGGAGACTCCAGGTAGGTTGCAGTTCTGGAAAATTGTGGCGCTGGAGACTAAATGGTTCCTGGTGATTTCACACCTAATTCTTCACCTTAATTTCTAATTCTTTTGCAGTTAACATGCATCTTTTCTTCTCCACATGTTTTTTAGCTGACCCTGCTGACCCACTGAGCATTTTGCTGTCCAATGGTTATGCATTAACTTTGCAATTTCTAGTATTGTATTAGTTTTGAATATTTCTCATGGGCATTTAATAATTTTTGACTTTTCAGTCTGAGTTGAAGCTCTTTTTTTTGGCTCATTTTATCTGTAAAAGAAAATTTGCTTAATAATTATGCACACCTGAATTTAAGGCGTTTTTCGCTTCCAGCCTTCATGAACAATAATATATAGATTAAAAGTGATTAAATACAAGATTAATAGTAGTTATTAAGATTGATGTCGTTTGGAATTGGTAAAATGTGCTTGGAAAAAAATATAATCAGAATATCAACTTGCATAATAATTATGCATGCACTGTATTTTTCCTATTCTGCTGTTGTGGTAATGCAAGAAATGTTGTGTGTGGTTGTCAAGGCAGCCAATCAGAATTTAGCAGCCTCGTCTCTGATTGGCTGGAATTATGGCATATTGTAACTCTAGGTTGGGTTGAGCAAGCGAGCTGTTGGCATTTAGAGAGCACTGAGGGCTGGCATCAAGGGAACAAGCTAGTGAAACGTTGCACGCGCAAAAGAGAAGGTCTGCACACATCCAAAAACTTATTTTAAATACAAAATTGATTTTCGTGCGCTCTAAATACTTTCTTCTTTGCGAGACAAACATTTTCTCCACAAAACTCAGTTCACGCGCGTTTTGAATCTTGTGATTAAAGTATATTTCATATAAAATGCCCAGAAGTTTCAAACATTATTTTTAATATCACAAACAGGAAATAACTTGCATAATACAATGAAACTAATAACTGTATAGGTCTACAACTAAATTACACAAGATTAATGTTTATAAAATGCTTAATATGTCATTATAAAATGCATAAAGTATGACGTATCGTGTGTAATAAAAGCAAATTACCCCTTAAAAACCGTAAGGTGGCGCTACTATATTAAAAAAATGTAAGCTCCACCCCTCACTTCCGGTTCTGTGGCTGCGGTTCTGAAACTGCTGTGCTGCGGGTCTGCAGCTGGATACTATTGGGAGAATTGTGGCAGAGATCTAGTCCAGCTCCGCCTCTGTGGACCTAATGGGTGGAGTTATGTTTAGGGTGTGGTTGGACCGTCTAGCCCCACTACAAGACACCTTTTTGATATCACATTGGAGAGATTGGATTTGAAACGTTAGGGTTGCTGTGTGTTTGTTTAGGTAATGTAAATGTGTTTCTAATGTGAGCCTACACTTTCCATTCAGTACCTCTAAGGGCATTTTAAAACATGCAGCTTATCTTGCATGTTAACGTTTTAAAGAGATTTGACAACGTCTGGGGAGGAAAAAACCCCATAGCGATATAAAGAAAACTGAATAAAAATGGTCTTGCGCCCTCCTCTGGTAAGCTATTTGCAGGTGATCTTCTTCAGATACTGGAATGGTTCAACGCAGATAAATGACTCTACTCGAGGTGTAGACAAAACCAAAAGTACATATACTTATATTATATGTTTTTTCTTTTTTTAAGGCATAAAAGTAGCCACAAAACCGACAAGAGCAAGCTCGTATTTTCACCAACACGTTCGACTGACGAAGTAACCATGGCAACAGGCTGTTCGTGCTTTTCCGTTAGGACGTAGGGCGGTACATCCATATGGGTACAACGACTAACATTTCTAAAACGTTTTTTTTTTTTTTTATCTGCCTCCTCTCAAAGTCATATCGCCTATTCGCACCCTTACCTGTACGAGCAAATCAGAATAGGCGGCAATTAAGTAGCCTATCAAGTTACTGCACGGGAAGACAACATTTTGTTAGTTGTTTAAGATTGTTTCATGATGATACAATTTATCAGACATATAGCATTGAAATAGTATGGCGGCCTCAGAGGCACCAATGTCAATGAATAATGCCGTATACTCTTGGGTTGAACCGGTGACATAGCCTACAAAAAATACGAACTACGAAAGCAAGTGGCGCATTTATTCTCGTCATCTTGTAGACTAAAGTACAAACGAAATATTTTGAAACCGCTTACACTTACCTGCAACTTGTGAGAAGTACAGGAAACAAAATCCGAGGAGTCGCACATAGAAAATCCGAAAAGATGTGGTGAGAGAAAACGAGCCCTTCTGCATTTTAAAACAATGTTAAACTAGTCCCTGAGCTTTAGAAACGAGATGCTCTTCTTCTCCCTTGTGAGAACTGCGTTACACTTCACCCAGTGAAAGACTAAAAGCGAGAGTGACCACGTGTTTGGTCAGCAGAACTGCCCTTCTCTTAGAGATGAGAGGGAGATTACTGGAATGTCCCCCCTATTATTTAGGAATTAGCTACTAGCTCTATCTATCTCTCCTTCACATTTCACATAACTTCACTTTCACTTGAAGTCTGTAAACACACATACACATTCATAATGACAATGACATACTGGAAATTACCGGGAGTTCCCAGTCTTTCTTTTTTTCTTTCTTTCTTTCTTTCTTTCTTTCTTTCTATCTGGTAGCCTACTATGTTAAAAGGGGAGACTGGGGCTAGATGTCACAAGGGATAGGATTTTTGTATGTTGATTAAAGTCACAAATAACCTGCTTGCTTTCTCTAGCAGTAGTTTTGTATGTTGGCATCTAACACCAATTTCAAATCTCTATCAAATTAGGATAGTATTTGTTAATTTTATAATCAAATAATATTTTTGTTATACCGCTTAAAGTGAACACAATAAAACTACACTGACATACATTCATGCATTCATATAATGTGACAACATGCCCCACCCACATAAACATAAGTGCATAGAGAAATTGACCTTCAAGAAGGAAAGAAAGAAAAAAAATCCCTGTCTGATCTTCCCTGTTTAGTAAACAGTGTTGAGAGATCCATTGTGTGACAATTTAGAACTGGCAGAACTTTTTTCATTCAAGTTTTAATAAATGTTGAGATGTCCATAACATGTTTGCACATGCATTTCACTGAATATGAAATGTTCTTTAAATCAGTGTTGGCCAGACACACAGTTGCTGCAGTGTTTCCTGATTTATTGTTTTTTAAAATAAATAAATAAGCAAATTAATAAAGGCACACAGTTATCAAACATGTTTCCATAGGTTCTGGTTAATTTCTATGGGTAAATGATAAAAAATAAAATTTTATCCCGCAAGAACCCAGAAAGTGAGGAAGTTGGTTTAATCCTAATAAGAAGTCAGGAAGCACAATGGTATCTGAGATTGTGTGAGTATTTGGAGTATTGAGTTCTCACTGAAGAACAGAGTGCCCTGTGTCTTCTCAGTGAACTGAGGCATCCATAGCCTTACAAGCTTTAATACCTAAGAAGTCATCTCAAATGTAGGCTTTATGTTATTAACATCAATATGATCTTTTTCTTTAGGTTAAAGCGTAGTAAGGAAAACTCATACTAATGAGACTTCTATTTTAACAAACAGCATAAGAAATCTTATGAGACTTGCAGCCTTGTTTATTTCTTTGGTCAGGGAGAGGAGGGCTTTATCGTCTGAGGGGGGAGAATGGAATGTGTCGAGACAGTAGATAACACAGATCAAGAGAGAATTCCTCTCAGTTTCTAATTAAGCAACAGCATACCAGCAAAAGAGGTGTTGTAACACATATTCAGACCAAAAGCAGGATTATGAGTGTGATAACGCTTTTAAACAACACTTCAATACACAATGGAGTGACTTACATTTAGATACAATACTGACAGTTACTTCTTGCTCCAAAATAGTTCCAAACACAGTCAAAATAGAATCAACTGTTGCATCTCCTAGCAATACACATTAGTTGTGTTCCGTTTCTTAATGAATCAGCATTTTGAACGAATTGAACTCAAGGACTCACTCATAAAAACAATGGAATCTCTAGAAAGTGTCACTGAAAAATTCCTGCCACTACTACACAAAGTGGGACAAACAGATAAGCAACGAGAATCCAGTTCTGTTGGATTAAATTTGGAGACTGGAATTAACTGTTATAAAGCGTTAATAGATGATCCAGCATAGCAAAAAACTAAGCTGAGAAAGGGAATAACAAATATAGACTAAATGTTGGAATACAATACATGACTTTTAAAATCTGAACAGATTTTCAAACACTAGGTATCATACAGTTGCCAACTTTCTAATTAACGAAAAAAATGGACATCATACACTAAATGACTGAGGATCACACACTACCAGACTTTAGTCTTTCCGAACACAACAAACTCACACAGAAACATGAGCCTTGTTGCTAGATTATGTAGGCTATATGAAAACAATTTGTGTTCTAAAATCAACTCAAAATACTGAATAGGGTTGATATCCTCCGACTGAACAAATTCATAGTCTGCAAATCAGGGCAAACCCCCAGGCAATTCAAGTTGTATTCCAGCTAAAACAAATATGTCCCAAATAAGCCATTTGAAGGTCATTTGATGAGGGTGTAGAAGTGATAAAGAGCACTGATACAGTGTACTTCTCAGATACAAACAGCCACCATCAGGGTCAGAATTTTTGTTTCCCACAGCTTTGTATGCTTATGTAATATTTACCTGCATTCATCCCACACAATTTTATAATCTTCACGATTCTTTATTTTTAGCAATTTAATGGTAACGCAATATGAAGCCCTCTACAGGGTTGATGCAATTAGTGTTTTTTTGTTAAGGTTAGCGTCAATACTATATAGACCTTATAGCGCCATATTTCATTTTTGACAGGAATGAAAATGAGGCTGTGAGGGACTGAAGTACAGTGCGTTCAATGGACTGTACAATAGTTTAACAACATACGATTGTTCAGCTGACGAAACATCTCTCCGAAAAGTAGACGAAAACTTCATAACACAGTTTTAAAAGTTGTAAGTTGGCGAAATTATGTGATTTAGGACCTTTATACAGTGCGCGTATTGTTGTAAAGATTATCCCTCACAGCCTCGTTTTCATCCATGTTAAATTCAATATGGCATAACCTGATTAAGGTCTATTGCTCATACAGATTTCAGCAGCTACTACACTTTGACATGTAAGCGCACTGTGGTTATGTCATCTGCCTCTTTAAATTCTCAAGCTCTTTTAAAATTGGGTAATTTCTAACTAGCTGTCAATGTTTTTATCGTCCATCAGCTGGGGGAAAAAATGGACCACTAAATATCCACCCAGGAAAGCAATACAGCAACACCGAGGCAATGATCTGGCAACCACCCAGTTTAGCGACTTTGACATTTGCACAGGATGCGCTACTCACATTTTCCCTAGAAAAATGGCATGATGTACATTCATTGACTAAAAATGCTAATCACATTGTGTTATCTCAGGTCTTACTTACATAGTGAGGTGTTTTTCCTTCATCCAGAGCATCAGTTATCTTTTCCAGGAAAAGCCCTATTTCCACACTCCAGCATGTCCTTGGAAATGTCACTTAGCCTTATTCCTGCCTCCACACATAGTTCCTGTTAAAAGAACTTAAACAGGAATGTCATGTTTACACTAAGCAGCACTTCAGGATAATGATTTGCTGTACTTATATTTGCTGTACTCAATTTGTGCAGTATAGCAATATTATTTCTTTAAGGATCACAAACTTTTTCCTTACTGCATTCATGGAATTAACTGAGAAAACAAGGATACAATCAGACTTGCTGGAAAAGATGGACCGGATTCAGATATTTTGCAATAAGTCTAAGGTGACAGGATGTTTTAGTTCTTCCCAGTGAATGTCATAAATTCTTGAAGTAATAAACTATATTTAAACCCTATGATTTCATTTCCTTGGTCTTTTCAGGGCATGTCTTTGACTTATAGTTTTTTTTATACACTCTTTCCTTTTATCTTCTTCTAAATCATTGGAAAGAAGCCTGGCTGAGCCAAGAAAGGAGGCTTGCTGTGAGGTCAGGTAATTTCTGGTAAGAACTCAAGCTCATTTATTAAAGCCCATAGCCAATCCCTTCAGCATCCTGCCAAAATCCCCTATCATATCCTAGAGTTTTCTTAATGTGATGACTCAAGTTGAAAACATTTAAATGAAAGCATGAGATTGTCATGATGTTTTATTTTCTATTTTACACTGTAAGCACAATACAGTTTGATTTCCACAAATGAAAGAAATCCTTTTCTGCCATCAAACAAAGAACGAAGATGTCCACACGAGCAATGGATAGTGGTGACGATGAATGATATCCTGAAAGACTGTTTGGAGGGGATTCCATGTTTATTTATTACAGTTTTACAGTAGTAACAATATTTCTTAAATGTTTTTGTGCTAGTTTTGTGGAAACTGTGGTTAAAAAAGGACATTTTTGTAAGTAAAAATTTGGTCAAAATATATAATATAATTTTATGATGCAGTTATGAGAATAGTGCCTTAAAAAACTTTGCTTCAGTTTCGTTTTTATATGTTTCAGGTTAAAGACACTTTTACATATATTCAATAAATTTATTTGATTCTTTTGTTCCAGTGATTTTTCTTTATATCTTGAATGATAAAAATCTAAAGCATTATTTTGGTGCTTTTAGTCTGTTATGAAAAAAAAAAAAAAAAATAGGGGGAAGTCCCTGTAGCAGTACCATGGTACTTTGGGGATTGGTACTTTCTGGTGAATATTTCTCAGAGGAAATTTATTTTTTGAAAACGTCTCACTCTTTTAGCTTCAAAAAGTAAAACTGATTATTATTTAACACAAACAATTTATGAAACAGCAAAAAAGTCAAATGTAACAAAAATAGTGTTTAGACTAACACAATATAATTAATAAATAGCATAAATGCATAAACTTTTAAACGTAAGTGACAATCTACCCCAATCTCACATTTATGAAAGACAGCATTGTCTTGAGAGGTTCACCATTCATATTCCACCTTCATTACAATAGTTGACTTGTGTCTGAAAGGGGTTTTCTTGTGTCAGATGCAACACAGCAGCTAGAGCAAAAATATGATCTTTCACTTTCACAAAACATGAAACCAGCCTGACCTCTCATAGCTTTACAGGGCCTGTACAGCTGCAGTTCACATAAGTCACATGAATACAATAATTATTCATGATGAAAACCTTGTACTGCAAGGATACCCACAACAATGGCGCCATCTAGTGGTTACAGTTAAAAATGTTTACATTTTTAAATCTTTATAGACTAAATGCATCCTAAACCTACAGGGTCATTGTTTTGATCCTTTAAACTTTGTTTTAAGCTGATGGGGAATTCCAATAAATGCCAAAAGTTTGCTCATTTTAATTACCCACAAAATTACTCCTAACATTTTTTTGTTGTTGTTGTTTTT